CTGGGGGGGTCCCCGCACCCTTGGGTGCCCCCCACCCACACCCTGACTGCCTGCAGGCCAGGAGCTCATCAAGTGTGATGCCCGTGGGGGCCAGGACGAGGCAGGTGGCACTTGTCGCTGCAAGGTGAGGACAGGGGGAGCAGTGGGGTGACATTGCTGGGGACAGTGGGGGCCAATGGGGGCTGGGTGTTGCCATCTCCCACTGCACCAGCCTGGTCCCAGGTACCCAGTCCCTGCCCTAGCACCCATCCCACCTCTGTCCCATAGCACCCAGTCCTCCCCTCATTCAGATCCTCTGAGGCAACCAGTCCCACCCCCCACAGCGCCCAGTCCGGTCCCTGGGCTACCCAGTCCAACCCCCCCAGCACCAGTGACAACACCCCCATGGCATCCAGTCTGGTTCCTGGGGTGCACAGTCCCACCAGCTCCCCCAGCATCCATCCCACCCTCTGCACCCAGTCCCCCCCAATTCCCTGCTCACCCCTGCCCACCCTGTGCCCCCAGCCCAACGTCCGTGGCCGTCTCTGTGACTCCTGCGCCGCTGGCACCTTCCACCTGAGCGCTGCCAACCCCGCGGGCTGCCTGCCCTGCTTCTGCATGGGGCTGTCCCGCTCCTGTGCCAGCTCCGCCTGGCACCGCCACCAGGTACCTGCAGCCTGGGACAGGCTGTGCCATCCTGTACCGTGTCATGTCTTGTCATTGTCTTGATGTGTTATTCCATGCCATGCCATGCCATGCCATAGCAGTGCTGTGTTGTGCCATGCCATGCCATGCCATGCCATGCCATGCCATGCCATGCCATGCCATGCCATGCCATAGCTGTGTCATGTGGTGCCCTGCCGTGCCAGGTGCTGTCATGATACACGTTACCATGTCATTGTGTGGTGTGTCACGTTAGCTGTGCCGTGCCATGCGGTGCCATATAGCGCCATGCTGTGCCGTGCTGTGCCATGATGCCATGCCACCCTTGCCATGCCATGCTGTGCCATTTAGTGCCACGTAACACAACATCCATGTTGTGCCTCGTCATGGCACGTGTGCCAGGCCAGGCCATGCCCACCACAATCCCTCTCCCAGGTGTTACTCAGCTCTGAGGACTCGGCGCCGCTGCCCCTGGCCAACGCGTCAGGCGCACGGCTGGTGGGGGCCGTGCCGCACTTCGTGTCCCCACGGGAGCTGTACTTCGATGCCTTCCAAAAGCTGCCACGAGGCATTCACTACTGGGTGCTGCCTGCACCCTTCGCTGGGGACAAGGTGACACAGCCGCTCCGGGGGACACCTCTGCCCCTTCTCGTGTCCCCACCGCCCAGCTCAGGGAGTGGGTGACCCCTGAGTGTCCCCACAGGTGACAGCATATGGTGGGGAGCTGCGGTACACGGTGACACACCGGGCCCCGGCTGGCACTCCCCTGCCCTCCTGGCACCCTGACGTCCTGCTCCAGGGCAATGGGATCCTCCTGGAGCACTTCTCCAGTGCCACCTTTCCAGCTGGTGTCCCCACCACTGTCACTGTGCCTATCCGTGAGGTGAGAGGGGTCCCTGTGTGACACAGAGGTCAGGGAGGGAGGGGGTCAGCCTGGGTGCTGGGGAGGGGTTTGTCTGGGGGTCCCAGGGGTCAGCCTGGGTGCCTTGGGGAGCTCACCCTGGATGCCCCAGGGGCTGAGCTGGGTGCAGAAGGGGATGGCAGCCCCTATGTCACCCTGGTGTGGCACAGGGAGCGTGGCGCCGCACGGATGGGCACGATGCCACCCGCGAGCACCTCCTGATGGCCCTGGCCGACGTGGACCTGTTCATGATCCGCGCGTCCTACTCGGAGCAGCCGGAGGAGAGCAGGTGAGTTCCTTGTAGAGTCAGGAGGGGACACGGCAGGATGGCAGTGCAGTGCTGACTTCCCCTCTGGCCCTGCAGACTGGCTGATGTCACCCTGGACGTGGCAGTGCCAC